CTTCTTTACCCCATCTCTCCTTCCCCCTCTCCATTCTTCCCTCCCTTCCTCCCCCCTCTTCCTCCTTCTCCTTTCCTCCTGTTTCTCTCTTTTCCCTCTCCCTTCCCTCCTTGCCGCTCCCCTTTCTCTTCTCATTCCTCCCTTCCATCTTTTCTTCTTCTTCTTCTTCTTCTTCTTCTTCGACATCTTGGGCGCAGGCCCTTGGACCACACTCTTTGAAGGGGATCTGGCTCTTGAGGGTCCTCCTCCTCCTCCTCCTCCACCTCTTCCCCCACCCCCTCTCTCCCACACACATAACTATACTCACCATCACTTCAAGATCTTTTGGAGCTCTCCGTTCAAAAAGTTCTACAAAGCCCTGGAAAAGATTTTTGAAAAGGCTTCCCTCGCCCTCAAAGAGGGAGTTTCTTTTCCCCAGAGCTAGAGATCACTAGCCTAGAAAGAAAGGGGGAGGTGTAGAGGTCCCTCATGTGATTTGGATATAACCTAAGTCCAGATTCTAAAAAATTGTAAAAAAAAAAAAAAAGAAATTTATAAACTCATTACCTTGATAATGAAGTTATTGTTGACTTTTGGGTGAAAATGTGCCACCAAGAAGGGAGATATGCCCTTTTAGATGGATTTGGGCAGTGCCAAGTTCTTGGGCACCTGCAGCTGGTTGCCACCCCGTCAGCAGTTGGAAGAGACTGATGGGCCAAGGCTCGTCCCTGTTGCCTATGACCCTGGGGTATGTCACCAGAGTTTGTTGAGTCACAATGCCTGAAACTATAGCAACCACAGCAAAGGCATGGCAGGCTGACAAACTCAGTAGCCCTTCACATCGAAAGCACATCAGGCTGTCTACTGTACAACAAACTTTTTCTGTTCTCTCTAGAAGATTACACATATTTCTTTCACATTTTGCCCAGTTTACAACTCCTTGAAACCTCTTTTTTCTTTCTTCTTCTTGTTAGACTTCCAGAACAATCATATTAGTTACCCGTTTGGTAGAGGTCTGTATTTTTCACGTACAGAATTACCACCAGCATTTGTGAACAAAACAGTATTAATTTTTACATCTTAGCTTATTTCTCTTTGAGTTTCCCACTAGAGATTGAGAGTTATGAGGCAAGAGATCTTTAGATTTATGTAGAAACACAGAAATGTTAAAGTCCTTTCTGTATATTCTGAATAAAAGTATGAAAATAGAAAGTTGGAGGCTGCCATAACACCAATCATGTAGGGTTCTTCTGTGTTTTTAACTCACCATCGACACTTCCTTAGCTAGTCAAAAAGAAGTGAGAAGATCCCCTACCTTTGTAATGTCAGAGTAGGCTATTTTGTTGGACCTTAGGATTCTGGATGTCTAAGTGGTCCAGCAAGCTCTAACCTTCATCACAAAATATAAATAGCCCACAATAAAAGCCAATCCACTTTGAGCAGGGTCACCTATCAGATACTCCTCAAGCCATAAAAAGACTTGAGCCTCTCCTTATTCTTTTCCATTATAGCCGGTGCTGGATTGCCGGCTATGGTATTTTATTGAAGATTATCCATTACACTTTGAGATGCCTTCAGTTTAGCCCCAGTTTGAAACACTAGCCTATACAACCAAATGGCTCTCAGTGTGCCCAAGTCTTATTTTGTGTTCTCCTTGTCCTTTTTCCACATGCTTCCACTTTAACCTCATGCATGTGAATAAGTGCATCTGAATTAAAAATTAGTTGAGATGACCCCCCTACATAATAGAGTTTCATATTCTTGGTTCCACTTCCATTTCTTCTATTCCCTGTTACCCCTGAGACTGCATGTCTTAACCTTGCTATACCGTTCTGATCTTGTTATTTTATGGCATTAAGAAGAAATTTGTTAAAGGTGGCAAGATAGATTTTATTCAGGCTACTGCAGTAGGGGAGAGAGACTTCAGATAAATAGAGTTCAACTTCATTGAAACAAAAGGCAACAGGCTTTTTAAATGCTATGGTGTGCTAAAGGAAAAGCACTGAGGGAAATATGTGTGGCAGGGAAGGTTAATCAATGTGATCAAGATCTCTGTGTTTGCTAAGTGGTACTTATCAAAGTTAGGCTCCTACCCTTCCATAGAGACTGAGAGACAGGAGGCTTGTCTTTCCTGATGATTAAATTTCAAAGGGATGTCTCTCAGGTCTTCGAAACAGACATTCCTGGATTGTAGAAGATATATCTCAAAGAGACAGAAAGGATTTACAATCACAAGTTTTCTAAAGTAAATGCTCTAAGAAAAGAGATGTCAGGGGCCTATAGTCAGGTTTTGGCTGGAACAAATAGTAAAGTTTTTTGGCAGTTGAACAGGTATTTTAAGGAGGCTGAAATCATTTTCCTAAGGACATGGCTTTGAGCTGATAGAAACTATGTTAGTGTTTGTTCTACTCTCTTAATGTAAGGAGTGGATAAAATTCCTTTTTAAAAAATTTTAATAAAATATAAGTAACATACAATATTGTATGAAGTGAATAAAATTCTTGGTGCTGAAAATTGAAGTTCTTATAGGCCAAGATTGAGGCCTAGTTGAGAAGAGGGCTCAGAGGAGCCTTACTATATCAGATCATCATATTATATACCTTAAATATATACAATTTTTATTAAAAACAATTTTGGTCAAGAAGGGAGTTTTTGTCAATGGTGATATACTAAAATCTATAGCACAAAACCTATTTTTCCTTTACTATTCTTTTGTCAAGGGGAACTTTTGATGATTAAGTTGGAACTCCTGCGTCTGGCTTATGTCTGTGGAATAAGAAGCAAAAAGAAAAGAAAATGTTTATTTGTTCTGCAAGCATAAGAATATATATCTCCAAGATTAAAACAAACAAACAAACAAAGCCAAACAAACAAACAAAAACAAACAGAAACAAACCTCTATGTCTCCCAGCCCAGAAGGGAAAAACTGTGATCTGGACCTGGAAAATGTCTTACCAAATCGCCTAAATGACAAAGAGAAAACTATTATGGATGATTAGAGCCCTGTCCCATGGCATCCCAAGCCTGGAGGCTAACCAGGAGCAAACAAAAGCAGCATTTGGATGGGAAGCCAATAATGAAAATGTAAGGAGGCTCAGTCATAGGTTATAGTATATTCACTGTCTCTTCTTTCTCTTAAGTTGCTGAGGTGCTCAGAGTGTCCTGTACTGACTAGAGATGGGGACAGATGGGGAAGAAGGGATGCTCAAAGAATCAAAAGAAGGGATATGCTGTGTTAGTGTGTGAATATATGTGAAGTAGTATGGACTGAGATTAGCCTTTAAGAGCCAAACATAGAGATGTTAAACACAGAAGCTTTGGTCATCACTTTTTCCTAACCAACATCGTCTATTTTCTAACCTTGTTTATTCTACCAAAATATCTTATCTTCCACACAAACTTGTGAATAATCATGTAAATCAACATTTTAAATATGCTTTCAGTTTGCATTTGGTTTAAAAGAGTCATTAAGATAATAAAAATGGGACCTGTGTTTGTAATGTAATAATGAAAAATGGCAAAATGAAATTTAAATCACCTGAACTATTAGCCTTCGTGAAATTACTGTCTGCCTGTTAGTTCCACTAAGTATTTTCCAGCCTCAGATTTAGCCTACCTAATTAAGTTTTTGCAATGACACTATGACCATTTGGAAAATGGGAAGTGATGCCAATGATTGTCAGGCATTATTAATCATGGACCGATAAAAATGGGAACTCCACTTCTTTTTCTCCTGAATTGTTTACAGCCATAAGAATGAACAATGTCATTAAGAGCAGCTTCCTGTAACCATACTAAACTGAAAAATTAGACATCTATTGTGAACATCTCAATAGTGGTGCTGCATAATGTCAAGTATTTATGTTATGTCTGTATTGTGCATACCTGTCATCCTTTCCTATGAGTGATTGAAGCAGTAGAGGGAGAAAATAAAGGACTTTTAAAAGCTATAAATATTCTCATTATTTTATTTCAGAGGACAGCTAAAGGTCAGTAAAAGGAAAGCGGACTCTTAGATATGTTGGGGTTTCCTTTCAAGCAGGGACTTAATTAGGCAACTAAGGACTTTTCTATTGACTTATTGTAGGGAATGACTTACAGCTATTTTTGATGGGGCGGGGGGAGGTGTGGCTCATTAGTGGCCATTTCTAGTCAGGTTCCTCTCATAATTATGAAATTTCCCTCCTCTGATTTCCTAGACCATTTGCTTATTGTCGGTACAATTCATCTGACATTTTCTAGACCTGATCTTGAAGAGTTAATTTTTCCTATTCCTGGATCACTTGCACAGAAGTCTTGAGGACAGGTTCTCTGTCTCTTTCTCATTGTATCCAGGTGATACAGAGCACACAGCCGGGCTCCAGAAACAAGTGATGGTTTTGGAATTTCAGGCAGGAAACACAATTCAGAAGCCATGGAGTCATG